TAGAGAGAAGATAACATTGTTGAGCAAAAACATGAGTTTTCGAACTAAACTGAGCTATATTTTGATGAAAATATCATTTTAAAGCTGGTCACATGATCAAACTTGACGAAGAGAAGGGACTAGATTGATGTGTAGACCAAAAAATAAAGGATTACATTGATTGATCTGAGGCAGCCCACTTCGTATATCAGGTAAACATCATTTGAATTGCTTTTACTATCCTCTTTAGTGATGATAATTCCAGATATTTGCAACCAGCTATGGGGTCATGACTCATGACAGTCACGTAAAAAAAAGAGTAGTTTTCATTAATTGAAATCACATATTTGGAAAGAAAAAGAAAAGAAAAGACACATATCTAAAATTAAAGTGATTTTCTCAACAAGAAAAAAAGAAAATCATGTGATATGATAATTTCTTTCCAAAAAGATTTTGTTTTATCTGTGCATGTGATCACCCTTGGGAATATGTCAAGTATTAAAAAAATAAATATAATTATAATAATTATAAATATATAAATATAAATAATAAAATAAATTAAAAAAACCCACTCGAGCAATCAAGAGGTTTCCTGCATGATTAATTTTGTTTGAAAAATCACACCAATGCCCTTGAATTATATAACCATCTCTAAGGCCTATTGTTCACATGGGCATTGGTATTATTTTCCCTAATAGGTTGCTCGAATGGTGGGTTCTCACCCAAGCTGCAATCAAGTTTCTAAAAATTCTTCAAAAGTTGGTTTGACGCCAATGGCCGAAGGGCAGAAATTGGTACTAATATTTGGCCTAACAATTGCTCAATGGAAATTTTGCCCACGTAATGCTCACTAGCTTCATGCTACAACAAAAGAAAATGTTTAGAATCTGTTTGGGTATGCTCAAGTCAAGTGGTGAAGGTGAATGAGAAATGAGTTATTTTATTACCGATCTCGCTTGTACTCTATCACTTTGTTAAGTAACCTTTGTCACCCTAATTCCACCGGCCGGTCGGATTCTCATTAACCGCGGCAAACATCAGCCTCACCTTCTTCCTTCCAAAAATCATGGTTGTTGACTTGTAGGAAACTAAACTTTAAAGAACTTACAATTTAAGAGCAAAAACCCAAGGAACCCTCTTGTAATGTCTGGCATCATTTATGTGCCCAAATTATAAAAAAAGGTTTCGTGGGAATGGCTTAGATGGTTACTGGTAAACTACCAATGGCCTCTTCTTTATCATGTCCCAAGTACTATATATATTCATAAATAATAGACGTGTCTAAGTGTTCATGATGTTAAAAACCTATATAATTCTCAAACATGATAATGGAGTCCCCACCAAACGTGGCCGCCCTCACCTCTCCAAGACATGCAAGCCACTCACACAATACCTAAAGGCTTGTCCATTCCGGTAAAGATTTGAAATGGTTAAGCACTTTTTATTTACCCCCAAAAAAGATAAAGGTTAGAACACTCTTGTGAAATATACTTTTTTTTTTGGTTGGATCTTGTGAAATATACTTAAACAACGTATAGTCTTATAACATAAAATTTCCTTACACTGTTACACACTATTACAAAAATTGAAAAGATGACAGATAATTATTATTGTCTTTATTCCTTCACAATTGTCGTTTTCATACCCAAAAAAAAGGTTGAGTTTTCACGGTTTATAGGCTAATTTGAGAGAGATGAGTTTTCACGCGTATAGAAAATTTGGGAAGAGCTACAAAACATTAAGCATCTTCTTTTTTTAGTGTGTTTAGATGTACGACGTTTCCTTCTTGACAATTGTCGTCGTCCCCCTTAAAATCAAACCCAATACAAGTTACTTTTATCAGTCCCCTACCATCATAGTCATGCTTCGGCTTTTTAGATGTTCCATTGTATAGTCAATGTCAGTAGTGACCAAAAAACAAAATTTCTTATACCAGTAATATCTATCGTTAAAAAATTTAACATGTTATATTATCAGATTGTTAAATAATGTCGTTTTAATCTAATATAAGTATATTTGCTCTTGATGAAAATTTGACCACATATAATATATGAGGTTAAATTATTTGGAAAGAAAACATTAGCCTTCTGTAGTTAGCTGTCTCCCTCTAGGGCAAAGATGGAGACAGAAATGAAGAAAAGCTCGCACATAACTTTCAATTTCAATGTTTAGGCTAAGAAACAATAATGCTTCAAAATCAAAACCAGATTCATATCGAAACCAAACTATTTGTTGATATCGATAGGCAATAGGGAGGGTCCATTAATAATATATGTATATTATGTACTGTCCCGAAAACAAATTCAGCCTAAGAACAATAATGCACTACTGCCCAACTCTCTCAAATCCTCCATACGATTGGATAAAACGTATTCGACTTAGTTCTTGCATAGCACTTCATTGCTGCCCCCACATCAGTTGGATCAATTCAGGACTGACTGTAGCTGGGGCCCAGTTTACCTTGTCCCACATTTAGCATATTGCCCTTGGGTTCGTATAGGAGAAATACTCGTGTGAAACGGACTAATTATGTTATTCCACGTGTGATAACTTTTTTATCTTGTAGATTGTCTGTTTATATCATCAACTAAGTGAGTTATTTACTTGATATGAGATAATTTTTTTTATTAACTGGATGTGGGATTCGAATTTGGAATCTACTCTAATATTAGGAATAGATGTATAATTCGAGTATTTGTTAGCCGGGGCGTCACTAGAAATATATTTTTTCTCCGTAATGCTCAAAATACCTTAGATTGGAGGGATCAATGCCATCTCAAGCCTACATGTGACTTTGCAACTAGTTGTTAATATGTGAGATTTGATTAACAGTTTGACAACGTAACATGTCAAATATTTAAGGATTATACTATTACTAAGAATAGTTACTCATGCATGCACGTTGGTAACTTTAACTGTTCATACATTATGAGACTGTGTAAGTAATTTTTAGCCATTAATACATATTATCCGCTATTAATAGAGCGACTGTCCCTAACATCCCTCAACATTAACATTAACATTACAATTTACAGTAAAGATTGTTGGTTGGATTCCCAATTGGCAACTGCCTAAGTATGGTTGACCAAAAAAATATTGTCCAAATTGAGAGTTAAAATAATTGATTTAGATCGACCGTGCTAAGCTTAGTTTATGTGGGTCGGCTCACGAACCGAGTTAAAACCTTCCCTCCTTCCCTGCCCATGTGGGTGCATTCGTCGCCTAGCAAAAATTTTGCATAGGATTCAAATGCGTGCAGACTTGGCCATGGCTGCCACGTGTATGCCGGTGGAGCATCCACGTGGTGACGCCCTCGGATGCCTTTTTTGGCTGTGGAACTAGAATTAAAAAATAAAAAAACAGACAATAAAAATACAGAAAACAACACAAGTAGATTGTAGATCTGCGACCGTCTCATGAAACCTACAAAATCTAAACCATTTTTTCCTTTTTTATTAAATAGCAGTAGCAGACACAAAAATGAAACGGCAACACCACGCTCACTTCGAGCGCGTGTATTATTATTATTAGCATTTGGAAATAATTTCTCCTATTTTTTTTTTTATAAAATTCTATACAAAATACAAAATAATAATTGTCCACAGGAGCTGCACTGAAATTTAGAGAATCAAATGCAAACGGATATGATACTCATTAGTAAAGGTTCCTCGAGGAAAGATCATGGATTTGAGTCCCAGTATCCGAATAGCGTGTGTAAGTTTAGAACTTGGACCGTGCCGTTATTTCTATATAACTTTTGTTATTGTTATCGTTTTTATCTTTTTATGTTTTTGGAATTTTGGAATTTTATGAAAAAGACTTTATTCACGTAGGGTAAATCTCAAAGACTTTTTTTTTGTGTGTTGATTGATTGATTGTATCCCCTTCTACTTCTATTACTTCATAAGCCTACCCCCACGTGTTCTTCTTAATTGTAATGATATGACCCGATTTTGCATGCTCATTAAGTAATCCCACGATATATGTATAAAGAAATACAGTAACTGTTTGATTTCTGCTTGCAATTTTTTTTCACTTTCTACTTAAAATATACAACTAAAGAAGGAAATAGTATTTCGACCTGTTTCACTGTTACATTCTAATGAGGAATGCGTATACAAATGTTTAGGTATATCTATTTGTTTGATCAAAAAGAAAAAGTATATATTTGTGACGAGTTCGATAATTCTGTTGTGGCGAGCACGTTTTTTATGGCGGGTGCGTCATCTCGTTGTAAATATCCTCTATAATTTGAACAAAAGAGAAAAAGAAAAATGCACTCATAGTGGCTTGGAAATACTAAATCAAGCAAATGACCCCCGTACTAGTATAATGATTTGGAGTAATTGCTGCCTCATGCAAGATCATGAGTTCGAATCATAACATCTGTGTAGTGCGCTTCATCCAATCATTCATGGTGGGTTTTCAATGGGGAAGCTTTCCACATAATGAGTCTAGTTTTATTAGCATTTAATGAACCAAAAAGGTCCACAAAACTTAATTATCTTGACAAAATTAAACTAGTACAATATCTTATGGGAGGCCATTTATAATGGACATAATGCTTTACCTACAAAAATGGTATATGAAATCAATTCAGCATCTGCTTTCTCTGTCATTGGAGAAATGTCCTATTTGATAGAAAATTTGTGGTAGTAATTTAATTTATCAAATTAATATGATTTTATTTCTCGTTATTTTAGATTTTTTTGCTTGTCGCAATAGAAGGGAATCGAACATTTGACCTAGCATGGTTTAAAAAAAGGGTTAATATTTGTAATTTCCAAAATAAATTTATTTATAGATTCTCGTTTTGGTTATTAAAAAGTTCTACGCTAATAATAATACTCTTCAAATTAGAAGGTGTTCTTCCAAACGATGTCGTATAGTAGCTGTCTATGTCAACAACCTCGATGTCCAAGTAGTTGACCGTATGAAAAAAGAAAAGAAAATACAATACATAGATTTTCACGTTCGTATGTCTACTCTTACACCGTATTTCTATACCTGTCTCTCTGCGTGTGTCTTTGTCTCTGTGTCTCTGTGCGTCATTTTCTCCAGCAAACAAAATCCCTCAAACTCTCTCTCTCTCTCACTCTCTCTGTAACGCTCATCAGCTCTGTACTTCCTCCTTCCCATTTCACACACTACACACACACCACAAACACTTTTACACAAACACTCATAGCCTCTCTCTCTCTCTAAATGGCTGAATCTCACTCAAGAAGATGAAAATACCCAGCAAGCCCCGCCACCCCTCGTCGACATTCCCACCACCAGACTCGGATCTTCACCCACACAGGCCCAGCAGCGCTCGCAGAAAGACCCGAGCTCCCGGTTCGGCCCGGTTGAAGCGGGCCGGACTCCCGGCCGGGAAGCGGAGCCGACCCGAGACGCCTCTGCTCAAGTGGAAGATCGACGAAGGCCACGAAGACCACCGCGGGGATAGAAGAAAAGACCAAAATGCCCCTGAGGAGGAGAGAGAAGACGGGGGGAAGAGGAAGAGCAAGAAGGGAAGAGAGGTCGCCATGTCGGCCAGGAAGCTCGCCGCCGGGCTATGGCGGCTGCAGTTGCCGGAAACTGTTTCGGGTGTACCAGGGCGGACTGGTCAGCTAGGGTTTCAGGTGAGTTTGGTCTCGGAAGTTATCTTCTTTGCGGTCATCAAAGATCTGAAAGTTTTTGGTAAAATGGGTCTTCTTCGAAACCTTGATGAAATCTCATTTCATTGAAGTTTGACCTTTTTTTTTGTCAAAAAGTTCATTTATTTATGTATTTTATTTTTGAAAAACATTATGGTTAATGCATTTGGTGTTGTTTAATTTGCAATTTTAAGTTGGATAAAGACTATTGGTGCTGATATTTGTGGTACTGTTGTTTTTTTTTTCTTCATGATATATATTTCTTGGTTTTTATTTTTTAATTTGGGGTTTAAGAAACCAAGCATTGTCACTCAAGATTTGATTGATCTTACAAAGAAAGAAAAAGCCTTCTCTGGGTTGATTGATCTTACAGAGATTGTGTTCTTTAAAGCTTTAGAATGAAATGGTTCTCTTTGATCTTTTTAACGTGATGATGATTGTGTTCTTAAGTGTTTAGGATGAAATCTGTGTTGAGGTGGTAATGCCTGTAAGTTTCCATCAATTTCCTGCTGAGTATCTCTTAGTTTGGTAATTAATTGGTTTTGAGATATTTTCAGAACTGCTTTCTTAAATAAGATTCGTGACGTTGCTTCAAGTTAATCTGAATGTATTAACATGGAACTGTAAGATACGGTGATACAGTGGTAGGACATTTATGCATTTCTTTGATGCATTATGAAAATTCCAGGTCATTACACTTTTCTTTGATATGTTCTGAGATAGTCCTTGCGTGCTGTTTTAGCACATCTATGTCATAATATGCCTTAATCTCAACATGCCGGTATTTATGCTGTTGTATACTGTGGATTTTGAGTTTCAATGTTGTCGTCTTCTATGCAGCCTGACGTCGGCCATATCGGCGTACCGTTTCTCCGTAATCGCAACAGCAAAGCATATGCTTCTGAAGCAAATGATTTTTTACAAAGCCCTAGTTCTACCTCAAGGAATGGATTCTTGTCCAAGGTATGATTCTTCCTTAATCACTTACAATGAATTGTCAATGATCTGTAAATTCTGAATGAGCATCATATGTTATGAACTTCAGTACAACACGATCCCTTTATTGTCTTGTACACGAGTCACACATGCTTAGCTCCATTTAAGTCAAGCTCCCTGGTAGAACCCTGCTGTAGATGACTTACTTTTCTAGGATTGATGCTATATACTTATTAAGAACCGTCTCCTTCGGGAATAAAATAAAGTAAAAGATGGTTCATCCAATCATCTTTCTTGTTTTCCACATGAATAGAATGTTATGGAAAATATAGAAGCAGTGTTACTCTTAGGATTTCTCATGTGGGAATATGTATTTAAACATAGAAGCAAATAGACATTAATGCTCATATTGGATGGAAAATAAAGAAGAAAAGATTTACTTGTATAAGAAATTTGGTGTAAATAGATGTATACCATATTCTTTTAATTGAATCAAAAGATGTAAGGTCTTTAATTAGCAACAGTGTCTGATGGAAAACAAGGGGGAAAATATGGAATTTTGTGAGAGGGAGAAGCATAACAAGGCTTGGTGGACTTTCCAACTATAGAGAAAAGGGAGAAATATGAAAATTTAATGTTATATGTGATTTATTTTCTATTAATGTCTTTTTTCTCAACCATTAGATCAAATATGGACGACTGAAATGCATTCAGGTGCACCTCAGCCGGCTAGGAAACATGTCCTTATTTAACGATCTTATTAGAGAATAACTCATATCTATTTACTTAAAATTCTAGAACAAGCAGTCTAATCTGTTTAACTTTTTCCTTCATTTCCATTGGTTTCTCAACATCTCTTATTTGAGATCTGTTTTCCCCCTGGAGCAATTTATGGTCTTTATTTTTTTCTGCCTCTAATTTTTATCTCAAACGTTAATTTCAGTTATCCAACTCTGCCATGGAGGGGCAAACAAAATGGGATCCTGTCTGCTTGAAAACATCAGATGAGGTACGACAAATTTACAGCCAAATGAAGCTTCTTGATCAACAAGCAAGTGCTGCATCAGTGGTATCTGTACTTGAAGCTGATTTAGAGCAGGCTCGAGCTCGAATTCAGGAGCTTGAGATGGATCGGCGTTCCTCAAAAAAGAAAATTGAACACTTCTTAAGGAACGTCAGTGAGGAAAGGGTTTCATGGAGGAGCAGAGAGCATGAGAAAGTCCGTGCATTTATTGATGACATCAAGGCTGAACTGAACCGGGAAAGGAAAAATCGTCAGAGAACTGAAATTCTCAATTCCAAATTGGTTAATGAGCTTGCTGATGCCAAGTTATCAGCAAAGCGATACATGCAGGACTACGAAAAAGAAAGAAAGGCGAGAGAATTAATTGAAGAAGTATGTGATGAGCTTGCTAAGGAAATTGGAGAAGACAAGGCTGAAGTTGAAGCATTGAAGAGAGAATCCATGAAACTCAGAGAGGAAGTGGAAGAGGAAAGGAAGATGTTACAGATGGCTGAGGTCTGGCGTGAAGAACGTGTTCAAATGAAGCTGGTTGATGCTAAGGTGGCAGTTGAGGAGAAGTATTCTCTGATGAACAAGCTTGTGGTAGATCTAGAGAAATTTCTGAGGTCAATAAGTGCAACCCCAGATGTGAAGGAAATGAGAGAAGCAGAGTTTCTTCGACAGGCTGCTGCTACTGTGAATATTCAAGACGTCAAGGACGTTTCTTATGAACCCCCAAATCCTGATATCTTTTCCGTGTTCGAAGAGGTTAATTTTGGTGAGCCTAATGAGAGGGAGATTGAGCAATGTGTTGCCTACAGTCCTGCTAGCCATGCTTCCAAAATTCGTACTGTGAGTCCTGAAGTCAATGGAATCAACAAGGACCGGATACAAAGACATCCAATTGCATATGTTGGTCATAATGGTGATATAGAAGAAGATGAGAGTGGATGGGAAACTGTGAGCCATCTTGAGGATCAGGGCTCAAGCTACTCACCGGATGGGAGTGCCCCATCTGTCAATAAGAATCACCGAGAGAGTAATGTCTCAGAGAGTGGAACAGAATGGGAAGACAATGAAGGTGAGGAAACACCAATTACTGAAATCAGTGAGGTTTGCTCGGTACCAACAAAGCAGATGAAGAAGGTATCATCAATAGCAAGGCTTTGGCGATCCGGCCAAAATAACGGGGACAACTACAAGATAATCTCTTTAGAGGGACTAAATGGTAGGCTTTCGAATGGAAGGATATCTACTGGGGGTATCGTATCTCCGGATCGGGGTTCAGGTAAAAGCGGGCTTAGCCCCTCTGATTTAGTGGGGCAGTGGAGTTCTCCCGAGTCAGGGAATCACGTTCGAGGAATGAAAGGGTGCATTCCTCTTGGGGCGCAGAAGCATAGTTTGAAGGCAAAGCTTTTGGAGGCAAGGTTGGACAGTCAAAAAGTTCAATTGCGTCATGTGCTTAAGCAGAAGATCTAGAAGTAGCGAGGCAGAGCTTGCTCATCCAAAATACTCACAAACCCGGACAAAAATAAGTAGTTCCATTTCTCACCGTGCAAGGTACCAACTTTCTGCTACTTGAAACTGCTCGCATGTGGTGGGGATGAAGAGTCTGAATAATGCAGATGATAATGGACTCTCACATCTTGTTTCCCAATTTACACCCATAATTATGCTATGCTCACAGTTCCATGATAATCTGGATGAACAACCAGGCTAGGTTATCTTGTGTCAAATGAGGGGCTATCGGTTCTGCTTGTTTTGGGGGTCTTTGCAAGTGATCCAGAAATCAAGTCGTATTATTTGTATCATTTTGAGTCCAGAGGACACCATTTGAGGACAATGGGAGACAAACGAAAACATTTCCCTATCTGTAATATGTATTTTGTTATGAGAAATGTTCGATTTAGTTTCTTGTAGGAAATGGAAAATCTCTGGTCCAATAGGAACTAAGACTGACAACCCATACTGGTTAAAAGTGCTACTAACGTACCAAACAAATACTTTTGGTATAGCTAAGTTGGTTGAAAAGGTTGAGCAATGGCCCTGAATTATAGATAATGTTCCACTTTGCTCTTTGAATTTCCAATTTGGTACTAAAATTCCTAGAACTTCCAATTTGTCCCTTTTAGTTCAAACTTGTTTTAACTCACCTTCACCATGTATGACTCGAGCCTCTCACCCGATTTCATAACTTGCGTGTCTAATCGAGAATAAGGGTTTGAAGTTGAGAATATTGGAGTCAATGCTTCTTTAAGACATCAATTGAAGTATACGGCCTCAAAAATTAGTCATGTGCGTTGTGCATGATGGAAACTAGTGGAAAGTTGTATCAACAAAGCTGAATGTTTGAGGGATATCGACACAAACTCAAATTTGAGAAGGTAAAAAACAAATTGAAAGTTCGGACGGCAAAGTGGAACAAAGTTCAGGGGCCATGGTTAATTTTTCCACCTATTTTTTAATAGTTGTAGAATAAAGTAAGAAATACATCACGGCACCAAAGAAATCAGCCATTGGCTATTAGAACCAGCAATAGTGACAATGGTGATCGATAAAGGTAGAGGTAGAAAAGTAGAAGAAAATGTAGCTAGCCAACATTACTTTCCAATTTTATTTTTTTTCAATTGATTTTAATGTTCACAAGTACTTCGTTTAATGTTTTATTTGATAATAAAAGAAAACTTTCCTTAGTTAAAGATGTTTTATTACCATCACTCATAGAAGTTTTAGGTAGATTGATTTTGATTTTGATTTTTTCAAGTGATTTTCTTTAATTTATCAAGGTATTTTACCATCCATCCATGGCAGAAGTTTTACATAATTAAAATTGTTTTAAATTTTCACTTCTTTTTTTTAATCATAGACAAACTTTCCAATTTTTCTTTTTAAACACAAATTTCCTTAAATTAATATAAATGAATAAAGATTTTAAATTTTGGGTCTGAAAATATTTTTTTGATTTGTAAATAAGTAAATCAAACTTTTTAATTTTGTGTTTCTTATTTTACCTTTTAATTTTGTGTTTCCTATTCCTATTCCATTTGGGAATAGGAAAGAATATATATATATTTTTTAATTCCATGTTTACGCGTGGCTTTTTAACTTTATGACGCGTATTACTGATACAAGTTTGTTTCACAAAGCTTCAGTACCAGCCAAGTCACAGCACAGCACCGACCTTCATTTTGAACATAAAAAAGAAGACCGTTAGCGCCAGAACGCATACATTCCCCTCCTTTTATCGTCTCTTTCTTTCTCTCGCTCTGTTTCTCTGCGAACCCTAAATCCTGAACACCACACTGCACTCCTTAGTTTCCAAAACTCTCTCTTTCTTTCCCATTCTCTCTGTTCTCTGCAACGAGCGAGGCGAGTTTTGGGTCGAGTGGTTTACGAAGCAACGAGTTGTCGCTCTGTTTGTCTGCAACGATCGAGTGGTTTTGTGGGTTCAAGAAGGAGCGAGTTCTCTCTCTTCTTATCTGCAACGATTTGTGATTTCTGGGTTTTGAAAGTAGCGAGCGAGTTCTTTCTCTCACTCACTGTCCAACAATTGTGCGAATTTTGGGTTTTGCAAGCCCGGCCGCCTAGCTACTACCTAGCCGCCTAGCGACCGCCTAGCGACCGCCCAGCCGCCTAGCGCCCGCCTAGCGACTGACTAGCCGCCTGGGCCGACTTTTCAAACACTGCGATTGACTTAAAGTGTTGCTAACGTATAAGCGAAAGCGGCAATCAAGAACAGATCCTGTACAGGGACATGAGTGCCATAATTCAATCTTTCTTGCTCCGATGATACTTCTTTAAGCAAACCACCAGACTTGCAAGTTCATTTGATTGATAAGCGTTCATCAGAACATTACAACAGAAATTCTGCGGTGAGATTTTAGAAAGTTGGAACCTGTTCACTTTTTTTAGTTTGTTTCATAGGGATATATGTTGTATGTCAATCTTCTTTATGTAGATAATTTAATAATCCATCCTTCCCTATTTTTCCTCTAATAATTTTGTTCTTGAAAAAATACTGACAAGAAAAAGGTTTTAAGGGATTACCAGATACCACCAGAATGTGCCCTATTCAACCGACCCTTTAAAGCGTATCTAGTTGAGATGAACATTTAGATTTGGTTCTTTAATTTAGGTTTCTATGAAGATCTTCTCTTAGTTTTTAAGGTCATTGCTTTATTCTGTCTCACCTGCCTCTTTTTCTTGCAGGTATGCCATGTATGTTTTGTGTGCTGTGTTGGGGGTAACCTGAAGCACGGTGGAAAATTCCTTCAGTCGTATCATCTCCAATGCCTAGATAAGCCCCATAAGGAAAAGAAACACATTGAAGTATCTGGCACAAGACAAATACCAATTAAAACCGTTCCGGCAAGTCTTGATGAGGTTCCTTCCCAAAGGGATGCATATGGGAATAAGTCTAGTGGCAAGAAAGTAGGCTCATCTTCAAATGCTAATGCTGGAGCATTGGTTGATGATAATAATGTTGGAGGGAGGTTAGTTTCTCAATTGGTGATGAATTCCGCTGTAATTACTGCTGATTTTGTAAGACAAAAAATATCATCATCAGCAGCAGCATTTGAAACGAAGGCGAGATCTGCTCTTGAAGTATAGAAACTGGCCACCTTGGCTTTGTTATTTGTTGTATATGATATGATGTATAGGTTACAGTTTCCACTTTGTAATTGATTGATTAGCAATTCTTTGATTTCTAAGAATAAAGAAATTCAGGATGAGATTCTGAATTAACAAATTTTTTCCAAGTTGAATGATATTAGTGAAGTTTCTATTTCTGTTTGTTCTCTAATTGGAATTTGTTTCTAGCTCTATATTTTCTATCTGTTTGAGGAAGTTGGTTCCTGTGTTAAAATTTACTTTCCGGGTAAATTTTGGCCATATACATTATACATTACACATTATATAGACAAGGCGTAATGCAGACCCTTCTTGGAAAGTTCTTGTCTCCAATGGATTCCCCCTGAATTGGTTTAGGATAGCTTGTAGTAATAGCCGTTTGACATCAATCACTGTAAATGATGCTGGCCTGGTTGGTGAGTTCAGCTCTTCAGCCATTACTGGTCTTAAAATGTTTCCCAATTTGTCGATTTCAAACAACCAGCTGACAGGAACCATCTCAAAGTTGAGGTATAAATTTGTTTGAGCTAATGGATTTTCTTGGGAGAACGAAGAAGAATCAAATAAGTTTGAGGGCAATAACAAACAAGGTAAAGGGTATTCAATCGATTCACCAGAACATAAGACCCATAAAATGATGGTAAAACCTGCAACAACAGTATTTTTCTATGTTTGTTCTTTTTGTTGGTATAGTACAACATTTCCCAGACTACATAAATCGCAACATCCAACATTATACTTATTTGACAGACATTGAAACAATAAGTGAATACAAAGGAGTTACACTGGAATGAAATTGGGACTATATTTCTGTTATCTGTATTCTTGAAAGTTGACATGCCCTGTCGCTCGTGCATGCTCCACAGCCTCCTGAATATTCATAAAAATTTATTCAGTATACTAAGAATAAAGGAAATCTCATGCGCACAACCACAAACATTTAGAAAATCAAAAGAGGTAAGTTAAAAAATAACCTTCTGGCCAACTAGTCCAAGTTGGCACACCCCACAGCGCAAAGTGAAGTTGGCAGTGTCGGTGTATCTCCTTTTACTGAGAAGCAGCATCATGGTATTAAGACATAATCATGGTATACCTGAGCTATAAGAGTAGTAGGAGCACAAATGGAACTAACAGCAACGAAACACGCATGACCTCAAGCATTTTGATAACTTAGTCAGCAAAACACCGGAAAAAAGTTCACAGAAAATTAATCTTTTTATCCCCTTTTTTCTATTGGATAGGCATGGATTGAAAACTTTACATACAGGCTAAACACATCTGACATGCCCTAAGTTCTCAATCATCTTAAGTCGAGAACAAATTTATTGATTATTATTTTGAAATGTTCATAAACCAGACTTTACATGCACAGAGTAATAAGCATGCACTGTAGTACCATTTAGGTTCAACAATTAGGATGCCCTCAGTACATAGAGATCAGGAAATTTTTTTCAAGACTGTGTACTAGAGGTTAAAAACTATTGTCTCTTCAACTTGTATAGGTTTGTAAACAAGGTCGGTTGATGTAAAGTGAACTAGAAAACTTCTGCACACTGAACTACATGTGTAGAAATAATCCCCTAAATCACATGCTCTGTATCCTTTATCATCTCAACGTGCTAATTCCAGACTAAAAGCCTAAGGAACATTTCATGTTTTCACATATTATGCGTAGTAGTATTTGTGCGTGCACTATGGATATAAGCCACCATGAAACCATAAGCACTACCTTTGTTGCTCTCTCACAAGATTAAGAGCGAGCCCCTCAACCAGCCCAATGGTACTGTCCTTAACTGCAAATATAGTCTGATCAAACTCCTCTGGAGCTCCCTCAAAGGGTGACATCTGATACAATACAATGCAGAAACCAATGACCATTAACTGGAAAAATTAAATCTCAATCACAAACAGTGGAGAGCAAATGTTTACAAATAAAATAGCTTTAAAATCAGTAACTATCTTCGTTTTAACATATATTGAAAAATTATTTCACATCAATTATAAATCAGGAAAAAGTACAACTCGAAAAGAGCAAGAGACAAGACCTACGAGGCAGAGTCTCTCAGCACATAGGTAAAGAGAGCGTGGGAAAAAGGGAAGATTCAATAGCCTTTGAGCAGTATGTGTTGTTGTGAAAGAGATTAACATTAGATTCGTTAGGGAGATACAGAGGTGTGGC